CAATAATTTTTAATCGATATATATCGATTAACTGCTATATATCGATATATATCTGCTTAAAAATTTTGCTGATGTATCTCTAACAAAAAAAGGGCATGATGCTATAGTAGTATTTGTGGATAGATTATTAAAACGAGCTTATTTTTGCCTCACCCACATAATAGTAACAGCCCTAGAAGTTGCTAAAATTTTTTTCTCAACCATATTTAAAAATCATAGCCTACTCAAAACAATAATATCAGATCGAGATGCCAAATTTACTAGTAAATTCTGGAAAAACCTTTTTACACAAATAGAAACCAAGTTAGCTATATCAATTGCATTTTATCTTCAAACTGACAGATAGACTAAAAGGATGAACTGAATGTTAAAAGAAATGCTATGAATATACACCACGTATAAGCAAGATTAGTGGGACGAATACCTATCTACTACTAAGTTCGCTTACAATAACTCTAAACAAGCATCAACAGGTTTCACACCCTTTGAGCTAGATGCAAGACAATATCAAACACATCTACTATATTAGCTGTAAAGACCCCAACCTATATATTAGCAATAGATGACTTCATCGAACACTGGAAAAATATGACCAAAGCAGCAAAAAACGCTTTAGCTATAGCTCAGCAAAGACAAACCCACTACACCAATAAATGCTATCACTACTTAGAATATAAGATAGAAGACAAAGTATTGCTTTCAACAAAAAATATTAACAATCCAATTGACAAGCAAAGACCAACAAAAAAGCTCTTATCTAAATATGTCGGTCCTTATACAATTCTAAGAAAAATTTCGGAAGTTGCGTATAAATTAGATCTATCCAAAGATTAGAAAATCTACCCTGTGTTTCATATTTTACTGTTAAAACCGTACAAAGAGTCAAAAGAATTCAACCGATCAACATCTCCCCTCGCAATTTTTATATCCAAAACTCAACAAAAAGAGTACAAGTTAAATCAGTTCTATACAAAAAAATAGTGAACAAGAAAGTATATTATTTAGTGAAATGGTTAGGTTACCCA